TCCTTTTAATTCAACAATGTCATGGTGGCAGAGACCTTGTAGACAGAATGGTGGGGAACTGACCAGTGAGTAACAGAAAGCAAACACAGTTTATTCTCCCTAGTCTCTTAAGCGTTCAGGGTCAGGGGCTATCATCAAAAATAGACTGTATGGAGAATCAGCAGTCCAACTCAAGATCTCGAAGTAATTTCTCAAAATAAAACATCAAACCAAGGAAATAAATGGGTCTGGTAGCAGCAGTTGGAGGCCTGTTCTCCTCCTATTCACCAATGGTCTCAGTGTGCCTTCCAGTCTCAGCTGGCAGCATATAGGTCAGTGTTTCTTAACCTTGACAGCTCCCAGAATTCCCCAGTAAGCATGTTGAGAAACACTGATATAGGCAATTTCTTATTTGGGAAGTTTCTGGACTCTTCTTTTCCGCTAAGTAAGGCTTTCCAATGAGGTACCAGCTATCTTCTCTATCTAGGCAAAAAGGTGAGTCCTGGCCAGGCGGGGGAGTCTGCTTATACAGGCCTGATAAGGGTAATTCCAGCCAGTGCTTTCTCTGCAGGTTTCTCTTTGTCTGTCCTCTGGTATTGTTACAAGGGCTCCCAGGTTTGGCTTATGGACACTCACTCACACACTCACAGCCTATTGAGGCACACGGATCTTGTAAGCCCCCCTTGCTTTCTACTTGGGTTTTCCAGATAGGTGCGGCTTGAGCAGACAAGACACACAGCCCTGGTCAACAGCTGGGAAATAATTAGGGACACACCCAAATCACTTTCAACCAAGCACTTAGGCAGAAGAGGTTCTTTGGAATACACGGAGACCCAGTGAATTTAAAAGGACAGCAAAACTTTACTGGTTACAATGTACATTTGCTCTTCCATATATGAACACACACACTCATCCACACTTACCCACATCCTTCTCAACTAGGCTGCCAGGCACTAGCTAGAGAGAGGGAAGCTGCCAAGTCTGGATCCAAAGACGACTCAAGGAGTAGGTGAGCTTCAGGACCCCTTTTATCCCCAAAAGTCCTTGCTTGAGCTGGCAGCTGCTCTAGCCTTGTTAATCTACAAGTCTGGTAGCTGTTGATAGGATTGGGGAGAGGTTTCCATGCCTTGAGGCCCAACTTCCTTTGTCTGCTTCAGGTGACATTTTTTTCCTTTGTTTCCTTAACGACTTGCTTCCTTCTTATCTATCTCCCTGAAGGGATCCTTTTGACAAGATTCCTGGCTTCTGTCCTCTCTGCTTACGTGCTGCTTCATCTTCTAGTTATGGCAGCTTCAGCCTAGTCTCACAGTGTCTGCCCTCTCCCTCCACCTTCTTCTCCAGCCCTCCCACCTGCCCATTCTTCAGAGCAGCCTTGATGCTTAACCAGCGCTGAGCCTGCAGGCACTTACAGTCTGGAGCTGTGGCTTCCTCAGAAGGAGGCTGGTGTTTTCCCTTCACCCCAGTCATCTATTGGGACCCTGGAATGCATTCCTGGATTGCAAGGCTCTGCTTGTAGTTACTCACAC